GATCATTTTTTATAATTTAATCAAGTAGTTTTTCACATGAAACGTAAAAATATGCAAAGAACTTAAAATTTTAAAACTAAGGAAGACTTTATTTTATATAATAAAACCCAGTTTACTGAAAATTGCCAATATCTGTTTATATTTATATAATTATTTAAGTTGCGGAAAATATTCTGCACTGCGTCTTGGGACACAATCACGTAAGCGACCTTCGAAGACTAAGCCGTCAAGTCATTAGCAACTCCTGCAAGATGAAAGCTGAAGAGACGCCATCAAAGATCATTCACCAAAAGATTGCAACTTTTTCTTTCACAGAACACATGACACCAATGGATATCTCTTGTATTCGGAGGAATATGAGCAACAATCGTTTTCCTTTTATGTCACCTGTACATAAGACAATGGAAAACCGTATCAAGAAATCCAACAGATGAATCTAAGGACGGAGCGCGATAAATGTTTTGTGTTGGATAACGATTTGCAACAAAATATTATTATTTTTGGCATTTTTGAGAATTTACGATATTTGCGAAAGCAGAGGCATATTACTTATATGTACATTTCAACACGTTCCAAAATTTTTCTTGCAAATATTTACCATCCGTAGCTTATTAAATGGGCATTTCTCAATTAATTGGTTGTTCCGAAGCAGTTGGTGTCATTTTAAGTCCATTAAGACTTGTGGCTGATTTCGTAATTGCCGTGCGACTGTCTGTAAACCGAATTAGGTGTTTATTTCACTTGACTCATAGTTGGATTCGCAAAATCCGAAAACTTGGTTTTGTAACCACTTACAAGAGGGGAGATTTTAACGACAAGTGACTGCACCACTTATTTAGCTGGCCTTTTTTAACCCAAAATGAGTCAGCGATTGTTTTATCAACGATTTCATGCGGATATTCCTAACTTTGCGGATACATTTCATCACAAATCCATGCGAATCCTTTCATTCCAATTTTCCAACCATTTTTACCATTCTTATCCCAATATTCCCACTTCTCTATCTACGCGTCTACAGTACTAAACAATGGTGTACATAAAACTGCATAGTTAACATGTACCTTTCCTGTTTTCACAGGATATTTCTTAGGCTTTAACCGTTTATAAAAGCCAGTGGACTGTAGTTAAGCATTTTGATTCATTATGTAATTATAAATAGATTTCTAATTAGTTCATAAGTTGAGGACTGTTTCCGATATAACCGAAACAGCACATGTTTATAAATATTTTCATTATAAAGTTCACTAACGAAACTATGCTACTTAATTTTCAGACTCAAAACCGCTTAGATTGGCACGTCGAATAGTCCACACCATAAAAAAATCGATAATAATATCTATTTTAAAAAAAATTGCGTAAAATAATTTTTGAATTTAATAAATTACCACCTAAAAGAGAAGTGTAAGAGGTAACTGGCAATCTTCCGCATTAGAAACCAGCGCCTTGGGTCAAAAATACTGGTGATCAGTTTACTTGCGGTAAACCGTCTGCGGTGAAGAGTTTACCTATCTCCAAAGGATGCCGGTGATCAGTTTACTATATCTCGCAGGTGTAATAATTTTATGGGAGCTATAAAGTGATGAGTTTGTAAACGTCCATTGGTTTTCCTCTATTGAACTTGCAAATAAGTTCGGATAAAGAGGATCAACTTATAAAGGTACCAGTACAGAGCCATAACCTCTTTTAGTTTGTAGGCCGGGCGATGCCCGGTTGGGTGGCTACAGTCATCATGTAACCAAACCCCCGTCATCCGAAAACCGACCTCGTCCTGCTGGTCTGTTCCTCCCCGTTCCGATCCGGGGAGTAACAAACCAGCAGCGTATGGCCCTATTTTGGTCCGATCTTTGACCAGTCTGAATCGAGTGACCACCATCCCCCCCTGCAGCCAAGACAAAACGCCAACACGGATATCGTGGGCTATAGAAGAATTAATAATGAAATTTGAAATATAAAGAAATTTAAAAAAAAAAACAGATTAAAATAGTAAATAGGACATCACAGACATAAAGGACAACACAAACGAACGTCTATTAGTTAAAACCCTAAACTAGACGAGCGTAGGTCCCACGATAGGAAGAAGCCGGAGTTCAAATACTCGAAAAATAAATCTCATAAGTCATTCATGCTAGGACCTCATGAAATGACTATGAATATGGAGGCTGCCCATAATTGCCTTTGTGATAAAATTGCGGACGTCGAACCTTGAAAGGTTAAAAATTCTCATGACGCGAGAATTCGACTGACACCATGTTCCGCGAGCACCTACGATTAGAGGTGCCATGCAAATTTGTTTCCCTGGATATCGGGACTGCATGGTCTGAAGGAATCGAGGCTCAGTGTACAGCGCTGTTTTATTGGCAGCAGCTGTACTAAGGGGTTCAGGACCCTCCCAGCTGACGGCAACATCTACGACAACTACCTGCCCATCCAGATGGGCGACAAGGTCTGGTATCTTCAGAGTCCCGTCGGTGCATCTTATTCTGGGCTCGACCTCGCAAGTCCACCCTTTCCTTTCAGCTGCTTTTCGTAAACACGTAACGAGCTGATCATGTCTCTTAATGCGATGCCAGTGTGTTGCGGGGCATTTTTGCAGAACGTGTGAAAGGCTCTCGTTACGTTCGCATCCCTTCCGGCACCGTCTTTCGTTAGGTGGATTTGAAGGGATGCCTCTCGTTGGAAGGAGATTTCCGCGCAGCTGAATAGCCTTGACGAAGTCCCTCCCCGACCAGTAGGGCGGTGGATTGCTTATCCAGGCCGAGCTCTCGGAGTGTGAAGAGCCCTGGCGAAGTCCGTTACCACTATAGCCGTCCTCAAGCTTCTGGCTCAATTCACGTGCGATGAATGCCGAATTACCTGCCGATGTTCTTGTCCATTTAAGGACTTTCTCCCAGAGACGTGACATATATGGCAGACTGAGGGTTAGATACGAAGTATCAGTAGCTGAGGTTCTTAGCTTAGTCAGTCTCCTTCTCATAATAGCCGGGACGTGCATGGCCATGGCCATGACGCCCAGGCCACCCTCTTTAGTGGGAGCGTGGATGTATGCATCAGCGCACGTACGATTGAGGGACAGAAACTTCCGAACGGCTATACGCACGGACCTGTCAAAGCCCTTCAGTGTCTTCATAGTGATAGTTGGACTCTGAAGTTTATCGATGTACTTAGGGAGCAAGTATGTCCTCAAAACCAGCAGTTTTTGTGCTGGTTTAAGCCCCGCTCGATGAATGCGATCGAGCTGTGTCTGCAGCTCGCTGTAGGCCACCCTGGTCTGTCCCAATGCATTGTACCTTCGACCTAGGTATCCAACCAGCTCACTCGGTTGCAGCTGCCGAATCCTGTCGTTGCCGACGGAAAAGAGAGAGCGAGTTACGCAGTAAGAGTGCTTATTACCACGGTTAACGTTAACCGTAATAGCGGCACTCTTACCAGCGTTTATCGACATCCCTCTTTTCTCAAAGAATTCAACGGCTGTCCGAAGCTGTTTGGTACCATCCTTGGCCGATTCGGATAGCAGGATTAAATCGTCGCCGTAACCCAACACCGAGATCTTCCTGCCATCTGCAATGGGAAGGCCAGGCCCGCCTGCCTCAAGCTTGCATATCAACTCATCGACCACCATATTGAAGAGGTATGGCGACAGGGGATCACCCTGTTTGACGCCTCTACACATCTTGATGTTGTTTGTTGACTTGCTCCCAGCAGCAACGCTCGTACGGCAATTCAGGTACGAGTCCACCACATATCGCTTAAATGATGCATCAACCCCGAAGCGAGTCATAGCCCGCTCGATGGAACGTTGTGAAACCGTGTCGAAAGCTTTGCGAAGATCTATGGAGATTATATTATATGGACGAATGCCTCTCCTTCTTTCTTTGATCACCGCTTGAAGTGTCAGGTTGTTTAATAGGACGCCGTCTACCTGCCGAAAGCCGAAAGAAGACAGAAATTCTTACGGAATTTTCGCCCAGCCGGAAGAAAAAAATGGGGAGTTGTATCTCTGGTTTTAATAAAAATTCAACAATTGTGTATTAGTATGTTCCAAAGAAAAGCAAGAATATACTTTTGGTTTCTACGATGCATTCACAAAAATACACTTATGTTAAAACTAGAAAACCTGACTTTATTGTATTTTATACTAAACCAAAGGGGGCTAGGATCCCTGGATAAAAATGTGAAATTTTTATTTTGAGTATCTATACTAGGTGTTGGCCTATGGCCATTTTTTATTTTGTGCCTAAGCGGAATTTGTGAAGTTGCTCACTAAACAATACGTGGAACGACATTTGAATACAAGAATTATTAACCAAATACTTTCAAGATAATTGCGAATGAACATAAGTAGAATACGAAGGAAACCGATGATTGATAAAAACGTGGATTCCGATGTGAAGCAAAAACGAAGAAGATTTTGGTTCTGTGTATGAAAATATAAGAAAATACTACTAAGAATTCATGTAATGTTTGTAAAATATTATTGTGTAATAACTGTAGAGCTAATGTTTGCCAAGAATTTGAAAAGTATCTTTTTATCTGAATTCCCATATTGCCAAAATTTGTATGTTGTAATTTTTCATATAGGGAGTTAATTTTTTTGGTTTTCTTGTATTTTATATATTTATTTTTAAATTTTCCAAAAATATTTTACAAACATTTTAAACAATAAAAAAATATGATATTTAATAAAACGATTTATTGTTTAGGATATTATGACATGTAATTTGTAATATGTTTAATAACTAATAATGCAGAAAAATATTATTAAAAAAATGGATACAAAAATGGATCAAATCAGTTTTACTTTTAAACTTTAACTTTCCGATAATTTCTCTGCGGCACTTTTCCATAGAAGAAAATTATGCCAAATCGACTTATATTGAACCCTAGAAAACGTGATATAACTTGTGCCCAATCTTTTTCTGACACCTGTATATCGATTAAAGAACAATTACAGCTACAAAATAATTATTTATATACATATACACAAATTAAGTTAATTTTAGGGGTTATTTCTATCACACTTGACACTTCTTCATATCTACCAGCATCTAATAAAACAGAAGATATAGACGCAGCTGACAGGATGCAACACTTTTCAGTAAGTACTTAAAGAGTATATAATTTTATTCTTAAAAGCAAAGAGTGATTGCAAATATGTAACAGTAAATATGTAACTGCATATGTAAATTAAACAATTCTTTTTTTTTTAACAGTTAATTGGTGTCGTAGATCCACATCTAAAGTTATAAACAGACGATGCTGATATGAGCATGGAAAAAATCGTGTATAGATGCAAATTTCTAAAGTTTTTTTCTCAAGCTATTTATTAAATTATTTATAGTTTGGTAACAACTACGGGTGGAAGAACCGACACGTGGTAGGGTACTTCATTGACCTGGAGATGAGAAATTAACTCCGGAGGCGGAAAAGCTAAATTAGTCAACGGCATTGAGATGTGGAATATAGGACAATCAGATTTAGAAGAAGAGTCGTCATCGAGGTAAATGCCTGTCAAACGAATAAGAGAACCACTTTAGCCCTAAAAATTGGAACATAAAACGTAAGAAATTTATACCAATCTGGCTAACTAGACAACACTGTGTTGAAAATGTGCAGAATGAAGATTAACATACTGTAACTTACCAATATACAATGGCCTGAATCAGGAAAATGTAACACCAGAAATTGAACAACGTATTATTCTGGTAACAACAACTCCACTTGCAGACAGGGATTATATACATGAAGGACACCAGCTGGCAATAACAACAAAAAAAAAAGAAATCAAATAGATTATATTATCGTCAACAGAAGATCCAACCCGGTTGTTTTGTCGATAAGAGAAACTTAATGAAATGAAATGAAAAATAATTGGAAACTTAAGGAAAGGCAAAGAAGATAATGCAAAAACTCTTGCTATTGACCAACAATGGGAAAAAATTTTATATGGCCTTGTGTTAGTTGGAAAAGAAACTCTCAAACCACTTGGAGAAAAAAGAAAGCCTTGGATGGCAATATAAATTCTTAAATTTATGAAAGACCGACCAAAACATAAAGCAAAAGACCTGAATACAATATATGAATACCTGAACATACAAGATCTAAATAAAAAGTTTGATACCATTAATTGACACAAAACAAAAATTAAAACAAAAATGAAAGGTTTTAGAAAAAGCACAAAAACGAATATCCTTAAAAATGATAAAGGAGATATTATTACTGATATGAAGAAAATACTGTGTCACTGTGTAATGCTTAAACTCTTTAATCTAATTAATCAGACTGCCACAATCCCCAGACAATGGCTGCCATCGACCTTTACGGCAATACTCAAAAAGTGCAATATTTTGCTCAGATCACAGAACAATAGCTTTAACGAGTCACACACTTAAAAATTTTTAGAAAATAATACACTGCAGTATTGTTAAAACTCTTAAATATAAAATTAGTTACACACCACTTGAATTTGGAAATGATAAAGGCACAAGAGGTGCTTTGTTCCGCTTGAATGTGCTAGCACAGAGATGCGTGGATATGAATCACGACATGTACTTATGTTTTGTAGATTTTGAAAAAGCATTTGATAAGTTTAACATAAAAAGCTTGTAGAAATATTAAAAAGCAAAAATATTGACAGTCGTAATATGAAATTTATTTTTAATCTATATTGGAATGAAACTGCCAAGGTAAGAGTTGACAACCAGAACACCCGAGATATTAAAATAGTGTCCCAGGGTTGCGTGCTGTCACCACTACTCTTCAATAGCGGTAATTAAAGAAGCCCACTCAGATTCAATAAAAGGTATATCTATTAATGAAGAAATTTTTAAATAACTTGCGTTTTGCAGAGAGTGCAGTAGTAATGGCGAATAACAACAATTATTTACAGAATGTAATGCAACGACTTAATGAATGCTGTCATGAATACGGATTAACAATGAATTAAAAAAAACTAAATGCATGATCATGACTAAATCAGCAGATGCAAACATCCAATTGATTGTTGAGGACACTGTAATTGAAAGTGTAGATACCTACAAATACTTTGGAACATAAATAACATCAGATGTAGATTAAAAAAAAGAAATTAAGACTCATTAAGAATAAGATAGGAATCATTCGTTAAACTTTTTTGTTACCAATGTTTTGTTGAAAATAAGGTTAGGACTGCGCGTAAGAACGCTTTGGTGTTACGTAGTCACTACTGTTGTTTATGGCTTCGAAGCATTGACATTAAAAAAAGTGTATCTAAATAAGTTGGCTGCCTTTGAATTTTGGCGTTCCAGAAGAATCCTACGAATATCATGGACTCAAAAATGTCATACTCAGAAGTTACTAGAAGAATAGGAAATGAAGCTGAAATAATATTGATTATCCAAAGAAGAAAACTTAAGTACTTAGGCCATGTTAAGAAAGAGCAAAGATACTCATTATTGTAGCTTATTATATAAGGCAAAATTGTGAAATGTGGAAAGACGAAGAATATCGTGACTTAAAAAGTTGAAGGAGTGGTTTGAATGCAATAGTGCAGATGTATTTAGAGCAGAAGTCAATAGGGTCCGCATAGCCATGATGATTTCCATCCTTCGATGAAAAAGGGAATTTAAAGAAGAAGGTGTATTTATAAAAATCATATAAAACAATAGCAATTATAGAAAATAAAGTTCACAAGTGAGGATCTTTCCTAGATGCTGTTATCTTAGTGGATTTAATTTGTTTAGTTTTATTTCTTTAGTTTTATATTATGATCTTGAAATTATTCATAACCTTTTTAAAATCGTTGTGTTTTGGTATTCAAAGTGTTGAGCCTAACTGTATCTAAATAACTAAAACATTATCTTTATTTTCATCTTCACAGGCCGATATCTCTAATATCTATATTTTCAATATTTTTCATTTTTAGCTAGGTGTATATGCCAATCCTATTTATGTTGGAGACTATCCAGAAATTGTAAAGACCAGAGTAGCTGAACGTAGCAAGGCTGAAGGACGTGCAGAATCTCGTCTGCCAACGTTCACACAAGAAGAAGTTGAATATATTAAGGGGACCCATGATTTTTTCGGACTGAATGTGTACACCGGCTACTTGGTAGCTGACCTTGGATATGACCCACCAGTACAAAACCCACCCAGTAAGTGGCAGGATGAAGCAGTTAATGCTTATCAACCTCCTGAATGGGAAAATACTACTGTTTTTTACACTAAGGTAACCTTTCCCATTTTTGTTAGTGTTGCATATGCATAAAAAAGGTGTAAATAAAACAATTATTTCTTGGTGTGGTTCGAAAACTATTATATTCTTCTTCTTCTTCAAGTGCCCTCTTCGTTCCGAAGTTTGGCTATCATCAAAGCTATGCGGATTTTTGAGGCTGCAGATCTAAACAGTTGGTAATTGGTGCAATTGTACCATTCTCTCAAGTTTTTCAACCATGAATGCCTTCTTCTTCCTATAGATCTCTTTCCCATGATCTTTCCCTGTATAATCAATTGCAGCAACTGGTATTTATCTCCCCTCATAACATGTCCCAAATATTGTAGTTTGCGGTTTTTAACAGTAAGTATCAGCTCTTTCTCTTTCCGCACTCTCCGCAAAACCTCCACATTTGTTACTTTCTCTGTCCAGGGTATTCTTAATATTCTACGATACATCCACATCTCAAATGCTTCTATCTTTTTGGTATCGATCTTTTTCAATGTCCATGTTTCCATCCCGTAGAGGAGAACTGACATAATGTAACATCTCAAAAGGCGAATTTTAAGTTTTAGACTTAGATCTCTTCCGCAGAACACCTTTTTCAATTTAGTAAATGTGGCTCTAGCTTTCTCTATTCTGGTTCTGATTTCTAAATCAGAACTATTATATTAATAACTATAAATTCTTAGATTTTTAAAGAAAATCGTTAATAAAAGCTATTGTATACGTCTATTTAAATTAAACTGGTTAAAACCTTGTTTAAAAAGTTAGATGAAACAAAATCAACTATGTTCTCACCAACAACACATAGCACACCGGAGGGACCGCAGACGTTCGGATACAATTAGCGTCTCTTAGCAAAGACAATGACGTCGACTTTGCCTAAGTATCAAGACAATTACTCTACACACACAAACACACACACACACTACATTAATAAACTTATCTTGATTGAGACTGGCTGAATGACAATTGTCCAAGCCAAAACACAAATAAAAAAAAAAAAAAAAATACACATAGAACTGATCCACTCCAGAAGCTGGCTAAGTGCTAAGTGCGAAACACTCATAAGGGTTTAGGTAACGAGAATTCTCCTTCATTATGTGTCATCTCCTAACGTATATTATATATGATCCTGGTCATTTTATTTTTTTTTTAATTCTTCTCTAAATAGACATACAGGGTGAGTTTTTAATGCGACATCGGTCGATAATTCTATTATGGTATAGAATATTCATAAAATTTATTTAGAAAAGATGTAGGCAATGATATTCTCCATACTTAGAAAATATGTGGAATTCTACAGGGTGATTAATCACTACGTGGTAAAGCTAACATACAAATTTTTAAATAAGACACCCTATATATTTTTTAAATTTGTATTCTTCTCATAATTCTTCTTCTTATAATATTGATTTTGCATTACTATACAATATATGTAACAAATTATGATCATTTTAATTTTGAAATCCCTATTAAATCAACACTATGTATATAAGGAAGTAATGCTCTTATTCTTCCTAACCTTTTATCGTCCATGTTTGGACATAGGCCTCTCCCAACTCCTTCCATCGGTCTTTATCTTGAGCAACATATTTTCAATTTGTTCCGGCTATTCTTTTATTGTCATCAACCCATCTCATCTGTGGTCTTACTCTTGGTCGTTTACTTTAGTAAGGTCTTCAATGTTGTATTGTAGTATTCCAACGTTGGTCTTTTTGTCTTTTAGTGTGGCCTGCGAAGCTCCGTTGAAGTTTGGCAATTTGGTTTGTTATGTCCTCGACTTTTGTTTTTGATCTTACCCAGTCGTTCCTCTTTTTATCTGACAGCCGTATACCTAACATTGCTCTTTCCATTCTTTTTTCTGTTGTGGCTAGTTTATTCATGTTTGGCTTGGTTAGGGTCCAGGTTTGACATCCATATGTCATGATAGGAAGGATGCATTGGTTGAACACTTTGCTCCTTAAGTATTGGGGTATTTTGCAGTTTTAAGTATACAACTAAGTTTTCCAAATCCTGCCCATGCTAGTCTGGCTCTTCTAGTAATTTCCGCACTTTAGTTCTCTTTGTCAAGTTTCAGGATTTGGACGGTAGATATATTCCTAGACTTGTTCTATCTCACTGCCATTTATACGTCTGGGGTCATCTGTGTTTGTCATTATTTTATATGTTTTACATGAAAAAAACATATGTTTTTTTCCTGTTCATTTTAAGGCCGACGTATTGAGAGCTGCTTGCTAGTCCCCCCGTCATAATTTGCAGTTCCTCGAATGTGTCGCCATAATCACTATGTTGTCAGCGAATCTGAGGTGGCTTAACTTGTTGCCATTAACGTTAATGCCACAGGTTGACCAATTTGAAGTTTAGAAGACGTATTCTAGGGCTACGTTGAAAAGCTTTGGCGATATTATGTCTTCTTGTTTCACTCCTCTCTTAATGGGATGGGATTTATATTTTCGTCTAGTTGTATTACCATAGTTACATTATTATATATATTATGTATTAGTTGCCTATATCTCGAATTTATTCTACAATTAATAATAACTTGTTCTATGGAACACATCTCGATACTATCAAACGCTTCTTCATAGTCGACGAAGAAGTACGGGTAGTTGGTATTCATTTACCTTCTCTGTCAATGTTCTCATTGTCAGCAGATAATCTGATGTACTATATCCTTTGCGGAAGCCAGCCTGTTCAACTGGTTGGTAATTGTCCATTTTGTAGGTCAACCAGTTGTTAATAATTTTAATAAATAGTTTGTATACTTGACTGAGCAACGATATAGGTCTATAATTATGTATATCACATTTCAAGTAATGCATAAACAATTATTTATTTTATGTAATAAAATAAACAATATATTTTAGTTATTAAATTAAGTTTAGTTAAAATTATTGATAAAAAATTGTATGCAGGATGTAACTACAAAACAAAATTACGATGTTCTTAATTTTTTTAAATAGATCACCCGATACTTTATTTTTTATATTTGTTATAACTAAGCTTATTACTTTCCGAGATATTTTTAGTATTTTTCAAATTTCGGAAATATATTAAATTTTTGTAAGTAGAAAAAAGTATTGAGTATTGAGTGATAATATAACAAAATTATTTTTGTTCAATAACTACCTAACAAAAAATATAAACCATAACAATATGCAACGAATGTATCGATAGGGGTGGTATTACAAAAATATATTTCCTTAATAAAATACAAAGTTGCTAAAATTCAAATACAAGATAATATGATTTGTATAATAATATAACAAGATTATTTTAATTCAATAAATAACTCACACAAAACAGAAAACAAAACAATTGATTTATAACAATTTTTAATTGTTACATCAACAGTATTCTAAGCCAGGAATTTTTAATAAAACATTCCTAACTGCCGATTGCGACTCGCAGTTATTTAATAATTTAATAATAATATTTAATAAGAAAAAGGCCATTTATGTCAGTTAAAAAGGTAAAATAGTAGGCTTTAAAAAAAGACAGTTTTCATATTATTAAACCGAGAACGGTAGGCTTTGAAAATGACAGTTTTTATATTATTACCTTTTTTATCGGTCTGTGTCTTCTTCTTAGAGTGTTGTCTCCCTACGGAGGTTGACAATCATAATGGCTATTTTTATTTTAGAACTTGCTGTTCTAAATAAATCAATCGATCTGCATTGATATCATTCACGTAGATTCTTCAAACATGAGTTCTGCCTTCGGCCAACAGATCTTCTTCCTTGAATCTTTCCCTGTATTATAAAAGTCCAAATAATATAAGAGTCTCAAAATTTCATAATCTGGACCCCTCATCACGTGGCCTAGGTATTCCAGTTTTCTGGTTTGCCGTATAACCAGAGTTCGAAAGCCTCGATCTGATCTGATCTCCAATCCATCAGAAAATGCTAAAAGCATTTCAGAAAATCGCCATCAGAAAATGTTAAAAGCATTGACAGAATGCCGAATAGACCATCGCTATATTATTATAATCTTATATATTTACCAAAATTCCACAACTAGAGTAAGACTACCTGAAAAAGAAACAAATAAATTCTGTATACAGCGAGGAGTACGGCAAGGAGACACAGTCTCTCCAAAGCTATGGAGGATGCTTTTAGAACACATACTTGTAAGAACGCACATCTAAACGAGCATGGTAACAACATAAATGGAGAGAACTTAGTCATTTGAAATTTGCAGATGACATTGTTCTTATAGCTGATCGTATGGATGGTGCAATAATAATGTTTAAAAACTTATATCACGCTTTCTTGGAGGTCGGACTAAAGACTTATATCAACAAGACACAAATAATGACTAATCTAGTGCTAAATCTAAATATTGCTCTTGATGGAAGGGATATTGTACAGACTACATTGTTTAAGTTTCTAGAGACATGAAATTCGATTGGACAGAGATAACCAGACATGTGAGCTTCCACGCCGCATAGGATTAGCCTGGGCAGCTTTTGGTAAATTAAACTATGTATTTAAATCGGATCTACCCACAGCTTCAAAACAAAAATCTTTGACCAATCTGTGTTACCTGTACTCACTTATGCAGAGAAAACATTAACACTAAAAAGTAGTTAATAAGATTCGCGTGACTCAGATGGCTATGCAGCACCAGGTGTTGGGTGTCTCTTTGAGAGACCGAATCCGAAATTACGTCTTAGAACAAAAACAAAAGACGCTATCGAAAAAATCGCGTCCTTAAAATGAAACTTGGCAGGACACGTCGCCAGAATATCAGACAACCAATGGACCAAACCTATTTTAGAGTTGAGACGCAATACGGAGAGGAGAATGCCCACCAACTAAATGGACTGAGGACCTGAAGCGTAATAACTGGATGCAAGCCGCACAAGGCAGAGACAGATGGAAAGAGCTGAGGGAGGCCCTCGTCCAGTACTGGACGCAGACAGCTTAATGATGATAACGACTGCTTATTGCTGTTGGTTGCTTCAAATAATATCCATATATTTATCGTGTCTTTATTTTTATTGTTGCTGGCAAATAATAGTACTTATTTCTTTTTATTTATTTTTTAAGAAACTATTATTTTTTTTTAATATTTATTTCAATATTGCTTTGTTATAAATTATTTATTAATATAAGAAATTACTTAGAGCACTGTGTAATACTGATGCCCAATCTTCATCTATATTACGTTTCTCACTTTGGCCACTATTTATAGGTAGTCCCATGGACTGCAAGGTATTTAGTCAACTGGATTAAGGACAAATATAATAATCCAGGAATTATAATAACAGAAAATGGTTATCCTTCTTATGGCGATAAAGATGATAGAAGAATCTACTATATTAGAGTAAGTTATTAAATTATTAATGCACATCTTATTTTGAATTTTGTTATGATGAGTTAATTTCACTTACTAAAGATTATCGTTGTAATTCAGCGGGACAAGTAGATTTTTTAATGTTTCATATTTTATCGTTTTTGGTTATTTTTTTTTTTAATTTTTTTCCGTAACCTTATAAAAAATGGATCGCCAAAAATTTATTACAAATAATCGAGCTCCAAAATAAAATAAAACATTTTCTAAATATATTAAGCAAGTATCTGAATTAGAAAGTATAAAACTAACAAAAAACAAAACGTGAGTGAAATAAAATACGAAGCACCTGATAGCGTTAAAAAAATGCAATGTGTACATGCAATGACAATATAATAAATTATTCACATCAACCTTTTTGTTTGATGTGAATGTTTATGTTTATGTTTATGTTTCTTAATTTTGCCAGGTTTCATTCTTTCAATGTGCTTAATTTCTTTTCTTATCGATTTTTCCACACCAACATCAGTCTTATAAGATAACTCGCCGCGTAATTACACTGTGCCATGAGAGCTTTTAGTTAAAATCTTCCTTTTCATGTGAGAAAGCAAAACGCTATTGCTCTGGAGCCTTAATGTGCTTACTTGTTTCATTTCTCCAGTCATATACTTCGACTACTTCTCCAACCCTATGAACAGTACTATACTTTGAAAATATCTCCAGATATTCATGAGGTTTCAAAATTACTTTCTTTTTTTAATAACCTATTCGATATTTTTAAAAAACTCGGACTGGGGGTATGAAAGAATGTCCGATCAATGGGAATACTACTTCAAATTTTCTGATTTTATCTTGTGTAGAAAACCAATAACAACACATAAATATGAAAGTCGTGTTTTTGTTTTGACCTCCGCATCTATCACACATTAGCCTGATAGTATGAATATCGTCTCCAAAATCAGCCTATTCAAGAATGTAATAAATAAGGAATCAATCTCGTTTGAACCTATCTTGAGCTCGTTTTCGGTCCGACAGAAGGGAGTGACAGTAGATGGCTTTGAATTGCTTTTTGAAGTTGCTCTCATAATGGTACAATTGTACATATAAAATTGACGTGAATAATAGGCTGAATAGATCCGGAATCTAAGGAAAAACTTAATTTCGGACCTCGATATGTGTACCCTACCCTTTTGTGCATAAACGAGTTGGCTTTCATGTCCATATCATTACTTACTTACTTACTCCGTGGCGTTACAACCCTTCGTGGGTTTTAGCCGACTCGACAACATGCCTCCACTGTTTTCTGTCTTGAGCAACCTCCATCCAATTCTCCACGCCCATAGTGCTTAGGTCTCCTGCTATATTATCTCGCCACCGGAGACGAGGGCGTCCGCGTGGTCTCCTTCCAGTTGGGACTTCCTGCCACACAGTCTTACTGTTCGTTCGTCAGAATGTCTTCTGAGGTGTCCTGCCCATTGGAGTCTTCTGGACTTTATTTCTTTTATGATGTTGGCGTCTGGGTAAAGTTCTTCAAGCTCTTTATTAGTTCTTATCCTATATTGTCCTGATGTTTCATCAAGCACCGGACCAAAGATCTTCCTTAGGATTTTTCTTTCCCAAACACGTAGTCTCTCTTCATTTGCCTTTGTCATCGTCCACGTTTCGCTTCCATACATCACGTGTCCATATCATGGCACGCTTTTATTTTCTCAGTCAATTGTACGCATGTCGAACATGCATCCATTACACGATTTATAACATTAAAAATTTGAAAAAATATGATACTACCTACTTTAGTTAACAAATATTGCTGCTTTACGAATCACATGCAAAAAGAAAACCTTTTAGCGCGAAATTTGTATTGACAAGTTTGTACAGGATATGGCTTTGAAATATTTGCCACTAAAAACAAGAAAATCCCATTGGAGATTATACACTTTGATTTTAAATATTGGATAGGAGATTGTAGGGTTTGAATATTTAATGGCAGTCGCTTGATCATTTTTGAGTTAAGAATAATTGAAAACTGAAAAAACCCAAAATTACGATTTTTAACGCTCAACAACACAAGTAGAAAACATTGTTTTTAAATTTACCAAAAACCTAAAGTATGTTCAAACCTTGGTCTATCATTTCCCGATAAGTATTTTGTGTCTATTTTATTTTAAAACATTATTTTTTAATCGGTAATGACACGTTTATGACAGGACGGACGCTCTGGCTGCGGCGTATACAAGAGAGAGAGAGAGAGAGAGAGAGAGAGAGAGAGAGAGAGAGAATGATTGAATAGTTATTTATGCACCAATAATGTTATTAAGATGATTACGCCCAGAGTGCAACATATTTCAGCCAGAGAGTCTCTGGTCCGAGGGATGGATATTGCTTGATGGGCGTAATCATCCGGTAATGCCATTGGTACATACAAGATTTTGTTTTTCGTCTCACATAATATAAAAACTAAAATCAAGACGTTTTTTACTTTTTAGTTTACTGCATCCATAAAATATATATGCATATTTTGTGTTTACCAATAGTATTGCCGGATGATTATGCCTATCGAGCAATATCCATCCCTCGGGCCAGATGCCCTCTGGCTGGATTATGTTGCTCACTGGGCGTAATCACCTTAATAACAATCTTTTGCGTGAGTTTTTGAGCTTGAAAATCGTAATTTTGCGTTTTTCTCAGTTTTAAATTATTTATAACTCGAAAATGATCAAGTTTACAAAAAAAAACACAAGAAAACTATTTTGTTTAGAATGATCCATAAGTTAAAAAACAACTTTTTGCCTGGGAGACCTCTTGAACCTGATGAGGTATTTTATGAAAGTGATTATGTAAAAAAGTCTGATGGAAATATTTTTCCGATCGAACCCTAGCTTTTCGTATTGTCTAGTTGAAACAATATTCAATTTTCTCTAAACAATAAATAATATATACAAGAAAGAATATAAAAAAACGTTACTTTTTACATATTTTACCTTATTTTTAGGGTTATTTAAGTGCCTTGAGAGACGCCATGGAAAAGGATAATGTCACCATTTTCGGATACACTGTGTGGAGTGTTATGGATAATTTTGAGTGGACTTCGGGTTTCGGGTAAGTAAAATAATCTGGTTGCGTAGAAATCTAGAAAGTAATCCATATTTTATTATAGTCAGAAATTTGGACTCTATGAAGTAGATTTTAGTTCTTTAAATAGATCAAGAACAGCAAGACCATCTGCAATGTTTTATAAGAATGTCATAGCCACAAGATGCTTGGTAGAAACATGTACAGACGTTTAAGAAATTCTATAATAATAAATATTATTTATAAATAAATTTTATTTTATTTTATATTCCCTAGTCATTCTGTCAAGCAGGTCTGGTGAGTAAGAGTAAGCTCACTTTCTTCACTGTAAGTAGTCTAGTGCATTAATAGTTCAAAATACGGACAGACAAAAAGTCTAACGTAGTAGTATTAAATTTAAATTGGCGTGTGACTTAAAACATTTATCGCTTGTGTATGGGATCGACCTATGGATAAGCAGTACTGTAAGGGATAGGATGGTCCAGGTATATTAATTCTATTGATGTGGTCGAAGCTGTACAACCTTTGCATATATATATATATATATATAATATATATATATATAATATATATATATATATATATATATATATATATTTATGTATATATATATATATATATATATATATATGTATATATATATATATATATATATATATATGTATATATATATATATATTTACGGCATAAAGTGGACTCCGCCCATGTTAAAATTCAGGTTCAGGTGAGCTCCGTGGTCAAGTGGACACCGATATACGGAGCTCACTTGACCATTCCATAATATTGGCTCTGTCGATTCGTCAACATGTATAGTTTCATAATTTTAAAAAAAAATTTTGGAGCCCATAATTATCCCTGTATCATAAATGTATATCGCTTAGTTCACGTGTATATATTATAGGGGTCGTTCAGATCTTTTTCACTGTATATTGGAACCATATGTATATCGGTTTAAGTAAGCTCTGATAGTTTGGCAACTCTGCTATAAGATGTATAATTCTCGCGGAAAGTCTGGACGGTTTATATGGACTCCTTAGTTTTGTTATTATTCATACGCATTACAGTGTGTAACAGATATGTATACTATTAACTACCTGTTTTTGATAGGTACGAGTTCTCTAAAAATAGCTTTATCGATACAAAAGGATTCATTACCAATTGGATTTTGTTTCATATGCGGAAATTTCCTAATGTATTTTGTTAACGTGAATATGTCTTCATAAGTTTAATTTAAGAATCCGATTAATAAGAACTTCTTTTATTTCATCCATTGTTTTATGATATCTTGTATACAGCTTTTTTATTATTTTATTTCTGGTTTTATCTATGTACTACATATAAGTTTGGATAAAAGGTTATCTCAAAATAAATATTTAAGTGCTAAAATAGATATTTTTGTGTAAAAATGGGTAGTAGTGCACAAAAAAAGAAAGAATTTATCTAACAAGCATTATACCACTTCTCCAATATTACATACTTCTGAATGTTTTATTTTATATTTAGGGGTAATACCTATGTTATCAATATAGGGTAAACTATACAGTGATTGGCCAGTTAAGAAGGTGGATGCAGTTAATTCACTTACAGACCCCGTAATATTATTTTTTGGTTTCTTCAGTTTATTGATAAATGATTTTAAAAAATATTTTCTCCATTTAAATCATTGTTTATTTGTAATATCGAAACAATTTGTTATTTGTAAAATAACCAAAGATTGACCACTAACTTTCAATTATTGGCCACTTGAATACCAGTAATTGGCATAGGTAAATCACATTATTAAAATGTTATGTAGATAGGTACGTACCTATACCTAGTGTAGAATTAATTTATTTTTGAATATTATTATATGTTATTGTGAGATGATAAAAAAAAATTCAAAGATTTTATTTATACAGCAACACAAGTCTTATAATAAAAAATTTTATACTTATCTACTGAAGGACTAATTTTTACAATGCATAAATTATGATACGTTCGGCTGCACTTGTAGCATCGGATACCTTTGTTTGAATTTGTAATATTTTTAGTACAAATGAAACAAAGTTTTCCGACAGCTATTGAATTATAAACAAAGTAATTCTTTTGGGGTTCATCATCACTTCCAGAACTGCTGAATACTTTTCGTACGTGACGTTGAGGTATTTTTGTATTATTGTTTAATCCGCTTGTCCCTGCTGCATTATCGTATTTGTTTAGGCGGTCAGTATCCGGTTTGGGACTTTTAGATTTAGTTTTTATTTTTGTTTTCTTTCACTGTATCATTTTTTTTGCTTTCTTGTTTTGATGTTTTTTTCTCCTTTTGCAATTTTTTTTGCAGCTTTTTCTTTTTGCTTGGATAATCTTTTTGTTTTACGTGTTTCTTTTCTGTTCTTGTTTTTTATTTGCTAATTTCTCCATCTGAATTCTTTTCCATCCTGAACTAGTTAAAACAAACGGTAATCGTTGGTAATCCCTTTTTCCTTTTCTTTCTGGTGTTTTAGGCCAAATAACAAAATCTCGAATGCTTCTATTATTTTGGGTATTTTCTTTATTGTCCTCTATAAATGATTCTTCAACTGAAGGCACCTCCTGGGTTAAAATTTCTTGTGATATATCACTTGTTAGCACAGTTTCTTCTAAAGACTGGGTTTCTTCTTTATTTTCCTTATTAGGTAATTTTTCTACAGATTTTTCCTGTGTTAAATTTTCATCTAATATATCATTTGTTTCCATAGCTTCTGGTAAAGGCCGAGTTTCTTTTTTATTTTCCTGTATAAGTAATTCTTCTACATGCCCTTCGTGTGTTACATTTTTTTGTAATTCTTCCCCTGTCTCCACAGTTCTTCGAAATAATTGTAACGTGATAAATGTTGGTCGCTTTTTTCCTCTTCATTTACATCTAGTCTAAAAAGTATATTTTCGTCGAAAATAATTTCCATATTTTCTATTTCTGTGTCCACTGTACTGATTTCTAGGTTTTCTGAATCGTCACGAATTTCCGTATTAAGATGGCTATTGCTCTTTTTAAATTCTTTATTTAATTTATATAACAAGATAAACTCATCATGACTTGCTTCGTCATACTGATCAATTTTTTTAAATATGGCTATTCTCTCTTCGCCAACTATTTCCTTAAATTGATTAACAGAGATAAACGGAATATTAGGTGAACCTTTTTTCTTTACGTTTGTATCTGAATATATGTTTGTTTCCTTTTTTGTTCCCAGACATTTGGTAAAGTCTATACCTGATGCGTTCCATGGATATAATCCACTTGCTCTAAACCCATTTTTATAGTTTCAGCTTTTGCGTAGTCTTCTATGACACCTTTCAGGACTGGTGCAAATTTTTCTTGGTCAGCATTTCATGGGGATGTTTCTTCTGAATTCTAACACTGCTTTTTTCCAACCTGTTTTTAATGGTTTGAATGCAGCAACATCTGCTGGTTGCATTAACCGTGTTGCGTTGGGATACAACGATATTAAAATTATCTGTAGTTCCGTACACAGTTGACTCAACTTTAGTGTTTGATGTGTAGAATGGCCATCCACAAAAAGGATTATTAGAAAAGTAGTGGCACTTTTTTTAATATGGATACAAAACATTACCAATATACTCGTAAAATAACTCAACTTTCATCCAACCATTATCACTGTGTCCAATTCCCCAAGAAGAAAGCACTGAATTAACTATAGAAGTCGGAAGTCTTTTGTAGGGATAAATAAGCATCGGATCAGTTACTTGACCAGATGCAGAAAAGGTAAACATCACGGTGAAATTTATTTTTGCTTGACCAGAATCTACCTCATAAACATTCCGTGCTCCACGAGGCGCAATAACTTTAAAATTTTTTGGACACAGATAAAAACATGTTTCATCTCCATTAAAAATTCTAGTGGGGTCTTGCAGAATATAATCTAAATTTTTACTTTGTAATTATTCCTCGACTAAAGAAAACCATTTACGAACATCTCCTTCTGAAACAACTGCACTAGCCGAAGTAACTGCTTCTGGTGTTCGGTGAGTTAAAATTTCATGTCGCTTAAGAAAGCCTCGATACCAGCCTTCTCCAGGAAAATGGTCCTGAAATGGATTTTCACGTGGGTTTGAATCTAAAAATTCCTTAACAGAAGCTTAAATATCTACTTTCCTAACTGGAAATCCTTTTTTGTAACTTGTCAATATCCATTCTTCTAAAATAGCTTCCTCCTTATTATTCAAAATACTGCTTGGTCCCAAAGTTATCTTATTAGTAAACTTATCACTTTTTCTAAACTGAAGTGTTTGACGTGGTACTTTAAATATTTGGGAAGCTTTAGTTTTTGACATCCTATTTTCGATGGCCTTCAACGCAAGCAAAACATCTTCTTCGGCATACTTTTTTTTCGTATTGTGCACCCTCTTTTATTTTGGGCATCTACAAAAAAATATCTATGTACCCATGTGCCAATCACTAAACATAAAATATTATCAATAAAATGTATTTTTACAGTAAATGGCCAGGTGGCCAATAACTGTCTAATATAAAGAAATTACAACCAGTGATTGGCATAGATAATTTAATAAAAACGAAGCACATTCACTAAATTATTGATTTACATTTAGTCGTTTTAAACATAATAAAATAACTCAAAACTATAAATTTTATATAACAAAGCATACCTTATAAAATACCCTTTTTTCCAATACTATCGGTTTTTTACGATTCTTAAGTATTTTTGATAAAAAATGTTGATACACAGCACACCGTCTGATAGATCTGTCGATAATTTTTTAAGGTTAGGTAGTGCAATAAAATGAAGTCAGATACTATTTTGTACATGGTTGCCTCTGTCATAAAAAAATAACATTTGTCAGTGAATTTCGTTATATTGTTAAAATAATGTAAAAAACCGACAATGTGCCAATAACTAGTAGTGGCCAATCACTGTATAGCTTACCCTAAGTGGAGTTAGTTTCAAATTTGCAACGATCTTTATAAGTAAAAGCTTACTGGCTATACTTAACATGTTTAGTTCAAATAAATAAACCTTGTCCCTTCAGAAAAGAGCGATTTGAATGGAAAAGTCAACTAAGAAAGTGTGATGAATCTTATACCACCCCACATTCACACAGGTTAACCGGTGTTTGCAGGCAAGAGTCCTCCAGGCAAATTTAAGGAAGATAACAACCATAAGGAAGTTCCTTTCAAGGGTTCAGATGGCGAGGAGCAGCTTATATTTTTTTTGTATATCTTGCAGATGTGATGATCTGATGACTGACTAATTTA